TATGGTTGAGATGGAAAAACAACACGATGATGTTTTGCTAATTCACAAGATTCACATCAAAAAATAGAAGGACTTTTATTCATGAATAACTTGGGTAACAAATGCTTTAAATATTGAAAATTTGGATGTCTTAATCGATAATGCCATAACATAATCTTACTGTCACTAGAAACAGAAATATAATTGAAACATGTCTGCTGATCTTGTCTTCCAAAAGTAGATTCATTATTGAAGAGGTAGAGACCACTATCCAGTTTAGCACCCCCAATCATCTTCTCCGAGGTTAAATCCTAAAATTCACAACGAGAAGACCAAAAATTAACTTGACAGTTATGATCAAGAGTTAATTTACTGATAGACAATAGGTTATATGACAAATGGGGAACATGAAGAACGTTTTTTAGAATTAGAGAAGGGGAAATGGTAAATGTTCCTTTCCCAACAACAGTAGCAAATGAGTCATCTGCAATTTTAACTCTTTGATTCCATGCACAAGGTGTATATGAAGAAAAGAATTGTGAAGTACCGGTCATATGATCAGTAGCACCTGAATCTAATATCCAGGAGCCATTAGACTTGGTACACGCAATGGCTACAGTGAAAGAGTTACCTGATTGTGCTAGAGAATAAGATGAGTTAGAATTTCCTAAAGATTGGGACTGAAACATTTTATGTAGGTGCTCTATCTATTCCTTTGTAAAAGGAAGGGGCGCTTATGGAGATTCCTGCTCTGGATCCGTGCGGTTTGCTTGGAATGCGTGGACATCTCCCCCTGACTTGGTGTCACTGCCGGGTCTTTTCTTCTAGCTTGCTGGTTTCCCGTGTAGTTTTCAACAATTCTTCCAGCTTGCTGCTTACCTCCACGCCTGTCTCCTTCTAAATCTGTGCCTCGAACCACAAGGGTAGATCCCTCACCATCTATTTTTGGTTCGTCGATGTTCTTCAACATCATTTGCCGCCGTGTTTCTTCTCTACGCACTTCTGCAAACACTTCTTTTATCGCTGGCAAGGGTCTTTTCCCTAATATACGTCCTCGAACCTCATCGAGATCTTTATTCAAACCAGCCAAGAACATAAATACCCGGCCTCTCTCAATCTTTTTTTTGTACCGAGGACTGTCATTCGAATTTTCCCATTGTTCATCTTCAAACATATCCAATTCCTGCCAAACTGTCATCATATCATTATAGTAGGCTGTTACCTCACGGTCACCCTACTGCATCTTCAACATTCGAGTGTTTAATTCGAACAATTGTGAGTGGTTGTTCAAATCAGAATAAGTTTTCCGGACTGCCTCCCAGACATCATGGGCCATCGGCAAGAACATGAAGGGCTTTCCAACAACAGGGTCCATCGAGTTGATTAGCCAGGCAATCACCATGGAATTTTCTGAACGCCACTGCCTATGTTTTGGATCATTGGTGGCTGGCGGTTTTACTTCACCATTCAAGTGCCCGAGTATCCCTTTGTTGTCGATCACCAGATGTACAGATTGATACCACTCAAGGTAATTCTTTCCATTCAATTTGTGAATGGTGATTTGAAGGGAATGCTCAGAGAAAGAAACGGCCGGAATTGGTTGTGAAACTGCCTCTGATGAAGTCATACCACTGCTAGCATCTGAAGTGTCTGAACCAGAGCCAACCATGGCGGCTTCAAACCCCCGTAATTGCACTCTTTATCCCCATTTAGAATAATCATAATGTGTTGGGTCTTTAATATATCTCAGGCTTAAATATTTACGTGTTGGGCTTTCAAATTAATTTACCCACACGATTGCCCATTGTCCAACCCACACATGAGGGTGAGTGTTAAAGTATAAAACTATTGTTAGCCCACCTGCTAACAGCTTAAGCTTTTGGAATGGATTGGTAAACTAACACTTTCTATTGCAGTTAACCTGGATTGGTCTCTTCATCAATTGGACGTCAAGAATGCCTTCCTAAATGGAGATCTAGAAGAGGAAATGTACATGGAAGCTCCCTCGGGATTTATTGAAAGCTTTGGGAATAAAATGTTGCAGGTTGAGGAAGTCTTTATATGGACTTAAACAATCCCCGATGGCCTGATTCGATAGATTTGCAAGATTTGTAAATACTCAAAGTTTCTTACAAGGACAAGCTAATCATATTGTGTTTATGAAGACTTCTGCTGAAGGTAGAATTGCAGTTTTAAATGTCTATGTAGACGACATTATCCTCACTGGTGATGATCTTGAGGAAATTGGTAAAGTGAAGAAGAGCCTTGCTACCGAGTTTGAGATCAAGGATATAGGACCACTTGGATACTTCCTTAGAATGGAAATTGCTAGGTCTAAGAAAGGTATAGTAGTTTCTCAACAGAAGTATATCATAGAACTGTTGGAAGAAACGGGAATGAGTGGTTGTAAACCATCAGACACTCCTATGGAGTTTAACTCGAAACTAGGGGAGGTTAAGGAAGGAGTTCCTGTAGACAGAGGTCGATTTCAACGCTTAGTGGGAAAGTTAATCTATTTATTTCATACTCGACCGGACATTTCTTTTGATGTTAGTATGGTGAGTCAGTTTATGCACTCTCCCTATGACGAACACTTGGAAGCAGTTTACAGAATTCTAATATATTTAAAGGGGACTCTGGGGAAAGGATTATTTTTTTAAGAAAAGTGATCAATGAAGGATGATAGGGCAGGGTCAGTGACTGACAGGAGATCTACCTCTGGTTATTGTACTTTTCTATGGGGAAATTTGGTAACCTAGAGAAGCAAGAAACAAAGTGTGGTGGCTAGGAGTAGTGCAAAAGCTGAATATAGGGCAATGGCTCAACAGGATATATATCTTTAAAAGTCACAATTCCTAAAAACCTAAACAGTTTAAAACCAATTTCCAAAACAATAATTTAAGATAAATAAACTAAAATATATATATATATATATAACAATGTAGAAGTAATAAACGTGCAGAATTAAAATGAGTAAATAATGCCAACAATGCAATCTGTCCCTACTATATCTTACAATAGCGTGTAATATTCATGGGCCATCGCCAGCAAATACCGCGGCAATTCCCCTGATCGGGAAGGTGCACTCTTCGTACCGTGTGTGCAATCTAGTATATCCAGATATAATCTTCAAAATACCTTAGAATCATTTCCAAAACTAGGGAAAATACAACAATAATCAAAATATCCATAAATGGTATACTCAACTCTTAGAACTCGTTTCCAAAGCCACAATAACTTTCAAAAATACCAATTTTGCAAAATCATGATTTTTCTCAAATTATTTACAAAATTATTTGCTTAAAATAATACTTTAGCCAAAAATTATTAAAAACAAACTGTAAATCTATCGAGTCCTCCTTAAAGCTCCCATGCCCACTCATTGTTTCTGTTTAATCCATCTCGCAAACTTTTCAAAAATAACAGACTACCGTTCAACTTCCTGTTCAAAATAGTTTTATTATAACCCGTCATGTAATCTAAGAGTTATTACTGTACCATAAACTAATTTTAGAAATTTTCAAAAGAAGAAACAAGTTGTATAACACAACTTTTAAACACTTCTAAAATTCATTAAATGATCAATAACAAATTGATGAAAACTCTCAGCATAATCACTGAAAATAGAAAACAAAATTCAGATTCTTAAACTCCTGATCAATTTCTAAACATCAAAACCATGTCTATTTATATATAATTTTGTTAATACTCTCTCTAACGATAAGTAATTCAAGAAATTAAAAACCCAAGTAAACTTGGAATACAAATTTACATAAGAAACCTTGAACTTAAGAAAATTATACATAAAACTACAACAAAAATTAGAAAGATAACTCACTTTTGAGTTCAAATCCAAAAATTACAAGTTGCTTTTCATAGATAGAATTCCATGAGATCCAGAATAACAAGATTGAAAGAAAATACAAAGGTTGCAGATCAAAGATTGTATCTCAGATTCGATCTTTTAGGTTAAATATCAACAAAATCATCAAGTTTTCCTCATTCTCATAAGAATTCTAGTGGAAAATTTGTCTATAGATGAGCTTCTTTAAATTCAAGGGTTTATTTCCCCCTCTGAAACTTCTAAGAAAGTGGTTCGAACTCTCATGCAGAATACTGAGAAAAATAGGAAAAGAAAACGTCAATGGAAATTTTGAGAAACGAGGAATTTTGATAACTTAAGCTTTTATACTACATCAAGTGTTAAACTTGGTCAAGCGGTGGCCTTGAATGAAGAGTTTCGGGATAGTCCTCAACAAGGGTACCACGTGACTGAGCAGAGAAATGACAAGGGGGCTGATTTACAAGTGTTTATTCAAAAAAAAAAAAAAAAAAGGTAAACCGTAATTTCAATAAATCTTGATTCAAAAATAAAGAAATTCTCAAAATTTTAAAGTGTGATCAAAATAACATGGAATTCATATTTAATACACCAAAATACTAAACATAATTACCAAAAATTAAATAATTGGCACACTAACAAACTTTAGTTAACACACTGGTTACTTATTTATGTCTAATTAAACTTACCTAAATTTCGCGAAGTTACAAGTTAATTTCAGAAAAATAATCTATACATACACAAGCTAAGATTCCCAATGTCAGTCCTTTTTTTTTCTCATTCTACAAAATCACACTAACAACATTATGCTAATATTTTTATCAATGCCAACCATGGTTATGATTGATGCCATCAAACCACATGTGTTGACTTTTTTGCTAATTTGCTCTCACAATTTCTCAAAAGGAATTTGATAAAAGGTGCAATATTTTCGAGAAAGAGCATAAAAATTAACAAGCGAAACAATCTCAATAACTAATTACTCCAAAACTAAAACAATTGAAAATAAAAATTCCACAACACACAGAGAGTTTGAAATCCTAAAAGTAACAAAATCATACACCAAAAGACCATCAGAAACAATATTGCTCCAAAACCCTAACGACAAAGCATCCAACATGCGAAAACCAAGCCAAACTTGATCAAAAAGGAAAAGAAAGGACGGGGTGGAAGTAATAACCTTCACGAGAATCCAAGGGTTGGGAGTGCTTGATACTGACGGAAGAAGAAGAAGCGCCGTCGAAGGTAACACGGGAATGAAGAACCGAGCGATCATCGCCGTTAGGCGCCAATTGAAGCTGCGGCGGCGCCGGCAGTTGATTCTGGTACTGGCCGTGGTGGAGCGGCGCGGATCGCCCTGCAGCGAGAGCGTTGTTGTTTGCTTGCTGTTTGGATCACGAGACGATACCGGAGGAACAACGAAGGAAACCATGAATTTGAAGCAAATAGAAAAAGCAAGGAAAATGTTTGTTGCTCGAGAAAATTCTCACTCGTTTTTTCTCTTCTGTTCTCCTTCGGCGATTTTGAGAATCCTTTCTTCACGTCACCTTGTCTTCTTCTCACTCTTCCCTCTCTTCTCTCTCTCTCTCCTCCCTCTGCTCACTATTGTTTACAGAAAGTGACTTTTTAGACCGTTAAAAATTGGGGCTTGTTTCTCAAATCCTAATCTAGTGAAAACCGAACTATTTTAACGACTATCGCAAATTCTCCACGTGGATGTCCTGGAGATCGTCAGGATCTTTTGTTAAGAGAAGAGAGGGAAGTAATATTTAAAAGGGAGACTAGAAATTATAGTATAGTTGTTTAAGAGTTTCTCTTATAGTTCGTTTATAAGTAATTTCATTTTTTTGGCAGTTAAATTTAATTAAAATCACATTAAGTTATAAAGTATATGAAATAAATAAATTTTGATATAGATTTAACGATTAAAAAATAAAAAATTATCTGTAATTAATTTTTACAGAAACTATTAGAAAAAATTCCTAATTGTTTTAAATAACATATTTAAAAGGAAGACTAAAAAATTATCATATATTGTTTGAAAGTTTCTCCAATAGTTCATCCTATAAGTAATTTTATTTTTTTAACTTTTAAATTTAATTAAAATTAAATTAAATTAAAAAAGTACGTGGAATAGACATATTATGATATAGATCTAATAACTGAAAAATAAAAAATTATCCATAATCAATTTTTACAGAAATTATTAGAGAAAGTCCGTAATTATTTTAAATTAGAAAATAATAGTATATCTTAAATCTAAACTTCATCATTCTTAAAAAAAATCTAAACTTCACAAATTCTAGAAATACCCCCAACCTTCACCCCAAAATCTGCGACATAGCCAGCAACCGTTCTCTTCTCCAACGACGGCAACAAGCAGCTATTCACCAATATTGGCTCTACTATTCACCCATGGTCGTCAAAAACCCACCCTTTTTGGTGCTTGACTCTTTTTTTTTTTTCCTTTTCATCATATAAATATATTTTCATCCTCTTTCTTATTACATATTAATGCAATTGTGTGGGTGAGTTTTCTGATGTTAAATACACAATTAGCATTAGTATTTATCTTAAAAGAGAAATTAAAAAATTATAGTATAATTGTTTAGGTGTCCGACAATTTTAATTTTTTACTATTAAATTTAATTAGAATTATATTAAATTGGAAAAATATGCCTAACAAAAATAATAGGTAATAAATTTTTAAAGGTCTAACACAGAAAATCCCTAATTGTTTTAGATCGGAAAATGATAGCATATCTTAAATCTAAATTTCGTTCTTAAAAAAATCTAAACTTCAGAAATTCTAGAAATATCCGCCAACCTTCACCCGAAATCTGCAACATTGCCAACCGTTTTCTTCTCCAATGATGGCGACATGTATATCACTATATTTTATTATAAAAGCGTGAAAATTGGCTTCACACGCACAGCTTTGCCTTTTTTTTCTTTCTATTTTCTCTTTTTCCTTTTTCTTTTCTTCCCCAAACTTTTAAATTTTTCGTACTTACTCTTCTTTTTAACTCTTTTCTTGCATTTATCTCAATTAATTTTTTTTCTAAATGTTATCTTACTTAGAGGTTTCTTTGTAGTAGTGTTCTAGAATATCACTATAATATAAAAGAGTAGAAATTCTCTTCCCTCATCGTTATTTACGCAAGGTGCTTCGTCTTTTTTTTTTACTTTTTTTTCTTTTTTTTTAAATAATACAATTTGTAAGCTTTGTTTTCCATACTCATTTTCGTGATTCTTCTCCTTCTTTTTCTTTCTTTTAATTGTTTTATATCTTTTTTTATATCCCGTTAACTCTTAAATCCTAAATCCTAAATCTTAAAACCTAAAGTTTAATTCTTAATCCTAAATTCTAACCCTAAATATATAAAAGAGTACATATGTAACTTGTTCATATTTAGTAGCTCAAAATAGAGAAGGTTTGTCGCTTTGCCTTTTTCCTTTCATTTTTTAAGTTTCAATTCCATTATTTTTCTTATTTTGTTCTCAAATAATTTATATTCATCACATGGTAGTCCAAACCGATTCCTTCCCTTTTTAAGTTGCAACTCGTTTATTTTACTTTCATTTTGTTAATTATAATTGTTTCCTTTTTTTTAGTTCTATAAATTTTAACTTTTCTTTTCCATACCCACTTTGGTGATTCTTCTCCTTCCTCTTTTTAACTGTTTTATTTCTTTTTTTTTTATTTTTCATATCTGTTAACTCTTAAATTCTAAATCCTAAATATATAAAAAGTATATATGTAAATTATTGTTCATACTTGGTAGTAAAAAATGGGGAGTGTTTGGCGCTTTGCCCTTTTTCTTTTCTCTTAATTTATATTCATCCTGTGATAGTATAAAAAAATCTCTTTCCTTTTTAAATTTCAACTCCTTAATTTTTTATTTTATTGATTATAATTTAGAATGTTTTATGTATTTTTATGCATTAAATGTAACCTTTTGATTTAAACTATTATTGACTTATATTCATTTATTTTCCTCATAAATTAGATGTGGACTCTATATATATTTTATAATCGGGTCACTGATCTACTATCTTTTGATATATACTCTTTTTTAATTTTTAAGTAATTTATTTGTATATATATTTATTTTCTAATTATATATTATTATTTATATTTTACGTTATAAAAATATCAATTACAATTCAATACTTGCATCACGTGTCTAAACTAGTAGCTATATTAAAAGAGACCACATTAGCTCTACTGTTCACCATAGTCGTCAAAAACTCGCCGATTTTGGTGTTTGACTCTTTTTTTTTTCTTTTCCTTATTGTTTTCTGCTTATATATATATATATATATATATACATATAAATATATTTTTATCCTCTTTCTTATTACATATTAATGCAATTGTGTGGATGAGTTTTTAGAATATTAATTAAACTATTCTCTAACTATTCTTTATTAAGTTCTTTTTACAACAATATAGATCTATTTTTTTTTCTTTTTTTTGTTATTGTTGACGGTAAAAACTCGTCAACAAAAATGAGCCGGGTCACCGCTAGGTATCCCGTTGGATTACCGGCTTAGTATTAACTGTATACTTAGTATAGGCAGTGAAGTGCTTGTGGTATTTTTTGTGTAGTGAGCAATGTAAGATGAAATACTTAAAAGTAGAAAAACACACAAAATTTATAGTGGTTCACTCTTATAAATGAAGAGCTATATCTACTGTAGTTTTTTATTTCTTCTGATATTGTTACAATTTACACCACAAATTGCTCTCTCGTTCTTTTCTCTCTAGAAAGATCAACCTCTCTTCCGTATGAGGCCTCTTTCCTTTTATAGCCGAGCTTCCTTCGTCCGGGGGGGTTTTCTCTTGTAGGCTGAAAAGCACTCAAATGGTCTACCTTTCTAGGCTCAGACCGTAGCCCACTAATCACTTTTGCGCACTATTCACTCAGCCAATTAGTCTCCCATTACAGCTCTGTGCGTAGCTGTAACCCTTTTTTGTCCCCCGTAGGGCGGTTTAAGGGTTTGCATTTAATGCATGTATTGCAGACATCTCCCATTTTCGCACGCAACTTGCGATGTCAGGCTTTCCCCTCTTCGGGCATTCCTCTCGCCATCTCTATTTGCTCAGCCTAGTTTTTTTCCTTGGCAATTGCTTTCTTCCCGAAGGATTCCTGCCGTAAGGTCGACGGTACGAACTGTCATCGTCATGAGGGGTCGACGTCGAAGGTTGGGCTTCCCTTGCAGCAGAAGAAAAGGGAATCCCCCCCACCCCGTCGAGGGTTGTTGCCTTTTTTAGGGAAAGTAAGGCCACGTGTCGCACTGTTATTTGCCCACGCGTCATCCACATTTTCCCACAGCCCCCCAGGTCGAGGGTTTCTCTCAGACAGCCTCGAGCTTAGGTTCGGTCGTACCTTTGTGCTTCGGGTGTGGGAAACTGATCCCGAGCCTTAATCTATAATGATGGTTTGGATGCTTTTAATTTCTTCGATGAGCGCAACCGTCGCGTCGGTCGCTTCCCCATACTGACGTAAGGCTTTATTTTGAAAAGATGAATATGAGCCCTTGGATCGCATCCCTTCCTCTTCTCGCCTTCGCCTTGCTGTCGTTTGATCTGGGAAAACTACCCCTGCCGTTGGATTTCCATGAGCCTTATCTGACGGCCAAGGGTCGAGGGCCTATTTTCCTTTAAATATTCTTCAAACCGAAACCATTCTTTCCAAAAAATTTCTTAGAACCGCCGTTACTCTGCCTGAATTTCTCCTTGCGAATCTCTGACTTGCGCTCCTTGCTTCCTGCTTCCTTCGTTGCATCGTGAAGCTACTTGGTTTCAAAACTCCGTCCAGACTCCAACTCATCGGTAAGCTTTAATCGTTGCTTATTTGCGTTGCTGGATGATTTTACTGGCTTTCCCAGTGAATCATAGGTGTTGATATGCGAAATGTAGATGACAGTAACTTACTATGCTTTATTCAACCCACGTAGGATAGTTTTTCCTGCTTTTAGTTGAATGCGAGTCTGGCTTCTGGGTTCTGATGAACCTTGGTTGTCACGAGCATTCGTCGTTACCATTTTCATATGAATGGTCGACGTTATGTTGAGGTGTTTCAGCAGTCGTTGTCTAGATGGTCGTCGCTTAGAATGACCGTCGTTTCTTCCTTCCTCTCGACTTAGGATTTTGACGTAGCTCCTTGTCTTTTTTATTATCAGAACAATGGCCCCAAAAAACACCCGTCGAGAGGAACCGTCTGTTGTACGACCATACTCCCCTTCTGTGACAGAGATTTCATGGTCATCTTCCTCGTCAGACTGCGACTTACTATTGCGGGAAGTCAAGGAACATATGGCCGGCCCAAGCGACGACTGTAGCGATAATTATGACAGCGTCTACCGAATGATCGACGAAGATATCGATAGGAGGCCTTTCACAGGTGGCAGCATATGTGGGGTCACCATTTCACTGGTGGATGCCCCGCTGGCTGCTACAAGTGGAGATCCGGACAGGCCGTTCTTTACGGCTGATATTGTGGCGTCGAAAGTCTGAAACAAAGATATCATCCGGGCTGTCAAAGAAGGCTGCATTTATGGGAGATTGTTTGAATACCTCC